CGCTGAAGTTAGTGATCCTTCGACGATTCCTTCTCGTTATTTGTTGAAATTTGATTACTTGATGTAGATCACACAAGTTTATCCTATCACGTTGGGGACTCCCTTGTAAGACTCAAAAAGTGGTTGTAAGACCCTTTTTGCTGAATGGAGAAGGGGATGGTGGAGGTGCAAGCTCTGCCCTTCTATACTATCAGATAACAAGACCCACCAAGCTCAGCTTGGCAAGTTTTAATCAAGTGATAGGGTAAGTTCAGGAATGAGTTTGTGTGATGCTGAGAAATGAGTTTAGTTGTTATTGGTGTTTGGTAAGGTTCTGTAAAGGTGGTGTATCTTTGATTGAGTGGTACTAAACTTGTGACTGATGAATAATACACTGAGGAGACAACAACTGGGAGGAGAGCCTCCTTATATAGACAATAATGAGGGAATTTAGCTCCAGGGCAGCCAATAATGAGTGATTTTGGCTGGCCTGGGCTATTACATGAGGGGTTTTAGCTACATACATAAGTTGAATGAGTGAACGTGATTGGTCAGACATGTACAAGAGTTGAAGTGGTGATCCAAACAGTTGAAAGAGTGATTCTGATTGGTCAGGTTCTGCTGTGTTTACAAGTGAGTGTGGTGGTGTAAGCTGCAGCTGTCATGCATGGAAAATACACTAATTTAGGCTGCAGGTATGATGTAATATGTAGAAGTGAAATGTAAAGAGTGTAGATGTATGTAAATGAGTGTATATGTAAATGAGTGTGTACTGTACTGAGGGTGTCTGTGTAGCTTGAGAGTTGTAATTGGGTTTGGTGATATGTAATGATGGGTGAAATCCTTGTGATATGTTGTCCATTGTTGGGTAAGAGTTGATCCAGGTGTGTTCCAGTGACGCCTCCAAGGTGACCAAGGGTGAATTTGTCCGTAGAGTCCAGTTCTTGAGCCGTATGGTGTGATTTCTGAGAGAAATTAGGTGATAATATGAAGAAAATATATATATAAGAAAAGAAAAGAAAAAAGTTTGAATTTTCACACTTTTGACTACCACACCGCTAGGTCAGCTTGTTCGGCCTTCGCAATCTCGTTTGCGAGGAGTTGACTGTCGAGATCCTCGAGTGACGCTACAGCGGCTGGTCCAAGCCGTCTCCGTTTCTTTTGTTCTCTGGACACTTTTCCGGAGGGATGGGGCTCTTGGCTAAACTATTAGCTTTGAGACATCCTCCGTGAGCTCACATGGTCCCCGTCAGTCTGGCGGGTTTTCATGTTCGCGGTGTTTGGGTCTCGGGGAGAGCCTCAAAGTCTCTGGAAGGGTATACCCTATCTGGGATCATCTTTCTTGTCGAAAGGGATTCACCAGTTGGTAACCCGCAGTGACAAGACTCTTCTCCTGAAGCAGAGAAAAAGGCGCTTCGCTGAAGAGACATCAGTGAGAGGGGGGGGTGGTTTGCGCTACACCTGAAACTCAGGGAGAAGCCTGAGCCTACGCGAAACCCCCCAACTTCGAAGCTGCATTTCTCAGTGCTCGAGACGTGTGGGACCATCATCTAGCTGCTCTAAAATACAAAGTGTGACTTTCAAATCTTCAACCGAGTACGGTTTGATGTAGAGTTTATAGCAGGAAGACGTCCATCGGCCGAGCTTACAGATAGTAGATATATCCACTTCTAAAGCGTTGCGTAAGGACGCCCCCCCCCACTCTGAATGAGTGTCCCGAGAGGTTTGTCAAGCCGATTCCTCTCCATGCTGATTGTAGGCGTCGTGTGCAGTAACTTTTTGTCAAATTCTTCCTCCCGGCGGCGGTGTCGAGCCCAAAGAGGGAGTCGTCGGGCGAGCCGGACGATAACCGCCTGACCAGAGCTTTTACCGGGCATAGCTTGTTGTTTGTTGCTGTCAACAGCAGCCGCTGCACCTCGCCGCCGTTTGCCGTTTTGGCAAAATGAATCTTGATTAACGCCGATTGTTCGTCGCTGGCAATTCGCACGTTGCGGATCCGGACACCTTTGTCTTTTTCCAGTCGCCCATGGGGGACGTCGTATGTAAGTTCGCCCAGCCTGGCCATGCCCCAAAAGGCAACGAGTGCCATGTCTAGTAGGACTCTTCCAAGATCGTCACCTTTTGACAAGTGATCGTGTAGCAGTAGCAAGTGTTCGATCATCACCGGACGTTTTGTCTTCGCTCTGACCGCTAGTGCGTCCGCTTTCGCTGAGGCTTTCAGCATTAGCGCGACCTTCTTTTCTGACAGCGAAGGGTATGTGGACCCGTGGTATACATGCCATGCTTTCAGACCGTGCAGATACTTGGTGAGAGTCACTCCGGATATCTTGTCGGGGTTTGAGTCGCCTGCTGTCCTACCTGCCCAGTAGCAAAAGCCATAGATCTCGTCTTCAGTAGCTGGCAGTTCAAACCTCCTCGTTATCTTCAACCGGGCGAATTTTAGAAATTTCCTCACAGCGGAGTTGTAGCTCCGTAGGGTGCTCCCCCTCCATCCATTCAACACATGTTTGTCGAAGGCCAAAGGTTCTTTTAAGGAGAAGCCAGTCAATGTGAAATCTTTCATTACGAGCGGGTCTAGAACTTATTGCAAAACTATCTGTCGTGTGGCGTGAAAAAACTGGGAGATGTAAAAAGAAAGAACAGGATGCGAGCTAGTTTGACATGGAAGCGAGTTATATACATATCCAAAGGAGAAAGAAACAATGGATCACACGAGGAAAACTACTTGAGAGAGGATTTCTTCTAGGTCAGATGGCACTTCGATCAACAGTTGCTGTTTCACATGTTGCCCTGACCGTATCCCCCTTGACAGCGCATCTGCTTTATTATCTTTAGATGCTACACGTTTTGCTTGTAATTCAACCCCTTCGTTGATCAGTATTTCCTGTATTTTCATCCATTCCGCATTAGCCAAGCTGTCCCTGGATTTTTTATTGTTAATTCCATTCTCAGTAGTTGTATTGTCCGTCCATACCATAAGTGTTTTCCCGCGTTGGTCTCGTATTTTCAAAACCATAAGTAAACCAAGTCGGATCGCGACCGTTTCTAGGTAAGAGATGCGTAATGGGACCCCTTTAGGGTCGTGTAACTTGAACTGAGCCCATCGCTTTCCTACCAGTATGCCTATCCCAAATGATGTAGACGCATCTCCCACCCATCCTACGTCTATGGGTGGGCCGTAATTGATGATTCTGGTGTGTTCAAAAGATTTGAGCGTTGAGACCCAAATCATCAAGTCGTCAAAAGCATCTGGTGGTGTAGATCTGCGAGCTTTCCGAACACGCCAGGATATCAACCAGCGATAGAGGGAGCATAGTCGGCACTTTAGATGAGGTAGAATGTACGCCACGTGGTTGAGCCGTCCTGCTAATATCTCAACGTCTTCATAGTCGAAATTGGCTTCCTTCACAAGAAACGGCATAATCTGATCTATCCTCTTCTCTATTTTCCCTTCTGGTAGTCTCACTGTCTTCTGTACTCCATTCCATATAAAACCGATAAATTTTTGTTCGTCTTGAAAAGGGGAATATTTTTCTTTGTTTGTTAGCACGCCTAGTTCCGAAGATAACTGAACGATTTCTTCCATCGAAACGTTTTCTCCTTGCAATCTGACAAAGAGATTGTCATCTACCCATCTGAAGATATTTAGTAACTTGAAGTGATCCTTCATTATCCGTTTCCACGCGTCTGCAGGTCTTCCAAATGACCCACACCCTGCTACGCCACCAAACGTGATCCTAGTGTCTAAAAGGAAATTACCATCAAAATCCTTCACCAATAAGTATTTCCATTGATCCATTCGGGTCTGAATTTGCCTATAAGCTTTTTCCCAATCGAATATGGCTAATTCCATCTTTCTGGTGTCTTTCGCAAAGAACTCTGAAACTATCCGAAAATCATCCCACGTGGTTTCGAAATTGTGTTTATTGACAAAGGAATTTACCGACCGTACATCTGGGTCGTGCCTTGGAAATGACAAATTGTTTATTGGTCTGATAGCACCATCCCCGTTGACCACCGCTCCTAAGGGATTTGATCGAAAGAAATCGAATTTTTCCATTACCTCACCTAGGGTGAAGGGGCCGAACATTCGTTTCGCATGTATTTCTTTCTTGATCGATTCTTCCACTTTGCTTTTGACTTTTTCAGAAGATTTATGATTGTCCGGTGCGTAATACCTCATACCTTGTATATTATGTCGAGGTATTCCTTGGTCAAAACCAATTTCAAAACCTTGGAGTACATCGTGATACTCATCTAGTAACCCGTGTTGCATCAATGCCGACTCCCAAGTTGGTATATTCATCTCACATCTCACTGTTGTGGGACACTCTAATGGTTTCACACCAATGGTGTTACTTTCATAGGGTTCATGAGACGTGCAAAGCATCGTGTTAGATTGAGTATTGCCAGATTGAAAAACAATTTTTCTAAAATAACCGGAAATTGAAAGAAATTACAAAATTGCGATACTGTGAATAATAGGAACATTTTCCTGCAAAAATTAATATCATGACAACTGAATTTGTTGCCTACAAATTATCTTTCTCTTTCCCTTTGGGAGTTTCCTTCCCTGAAATCTTTGAAGAATTTCCTCTCCCATAACCAGGGCCTCCTTTACCATAACCTCCGCGATGAGGCTGATAATCTTGCCTATTTTGGAAGTAGTCTTCATTTTGATAAACCTCTCTCGGTCGTTTGTTATCGAATCGATCATAACCATGCGCTTCTTCACGATAGCTTCCGTAGTCTGAATTACGTCTTTCTTGATTAAATCGTTCTGATCCTCTACTATTTCTGAAGTTTCCACGACCCCTCGTCCCTCGACTTTCGAAGTGATGGGATGAGTCGTCGGTGTTCCTTCCTTTTGTGATTTTAGGTTTCCCGGTTTTTGGGTCAAAGTTGAACTTGGGGCCGTCTTTGGCGTATGGATTGTTGGAGAATTCAAGTTCGTCTAGATTTCTGGTTGCTTTCCAGGCCTCTCTTTTGACGTCTTTTCTGAAGATGGATATATCCACCGCGGATGTTCCTTTATCAGTCTCTACTTGGTAGGAGAAAGCGTTTTGTCGAATGATTAGGTCGTACCTAAAGCCGACAAGGAAACCGTCTTCGGCTATAATCCTGTCGACGTTTGCTTTATGTTCAAGGATCCAGTCTGCGAAATCTGGATAATTATATAAGTCTCTGAACGTGACGTGGAAATTTCGATGGTTTGCCGTCCATTTCGCAAACGTTTGAGTCCATTCATTCGGGTACTCGAAACCAGTGTAGCTTCCGTCTTTTTCGTCGCCCTTAGACCTCTTGTTTGTGTGGAACTGAATGGCATCTTCTTGCCATTTCTTATCGAAAATAGTTAACGGAATTGGTCCTCTCAACTCTTTTATATTCTTGTTGAAGTAAGGGGTGAATCTGACATTGAAATGCTTAGGTAGAGATCCCCTCACAAAAATGATTGACGTCTTGTCAGATGATTTCTTCGTAGAGGACAAGTGTATGAGAGGGTTTATTCCGTCTGAGGAGCGAGAGCGTGAGATATCTGGTTTTGTAGATTCAACGGAGTTGCTTATTTGAGAGTACAACCTTATGAAGAAGTCGGCGTTTGTTTTATCGTTCGCCAATACTGCTTCTGCAATCTTGTCCCATAGTAAGGCTTTGTCTGATTTGACTGCCGGTACGTCTAATGTCGTCGACAAGGCTAAACCTTGCGAGGTTAACGCCGTGGTTGGATCGTCGGTGGTAGATAAGGTCTTCGCTTGGTCTGGACCGGTCACCGATACCGATAAATCATCACTCGTGACAATCTCTGGAACATTTCCTAGGATTCCTTGATATTTTGCGTGATTACTTGGACGATCTTGGAGGGTGGAACGTTCTTGAGCGGTGGGACGCTCTTGAGCCGTGTTACTAGGGTTTTCTTGGGCATTTTGCTCCGACATCTCTGAGGATCATAAAACATGCAAAGGAGCAGACACACAACTCGTGTTATTAAATGGTTGTAATCAAATGATGGTGTGATGGGTTCGTTGTGTCAACTCAGCGACTTAGAGTTAACACCTAGCTTACCTTTGAAAGTTTCACTATCGTCGCTTTCTGAGTCTAACTCTAGTGTTTGTCGGCTCTTGTTGGTCGGATCTGTTGCTGGTTCTAACGGTCTTTCTCCTGTGATGGTGTTGTTTTTTTTTTTTTTTTTTTTTCCAAAGAAGGCATGTGAAGTTGGTATGCTACCAACAACTTAGGTGCTATGGATTGATTGTTACTTGTGCTGAGAATAACTAACCACTTAAGTTCTCGCCTATAGGTGCTGTCAATGTCGCTTTCGGTGCTTTGAGGAGATTACTCCTGGTTGCCCTTTTGGCCAACTCATCTACCATCTTGATCCGTTACTCTTCTGTTACTCTGGATGTCCTGGGCCTTAACTGGATGTTTTGTCGGGGTCGTGAGATAATGGCGTCTTCTTAATCGAAATCGTGACGAACTGCCTTGAGTCTTGATAGTGCCTGGAAGGAATACTTACTCTTGATCGTTCCTTGACGAACCCAAAAAAGAAGGGATCTTCGTTCCTCGACAAATACCAACGATGCGTTCGGGAACTCCAGGCGGGAGACGATTCTTGAGCCGCGAGTGAGAGTCGGATGAGGAGCTTGGGGGGGGAGAGAGATGGATAGCGGAGGTGTCTTAAAGCGAGGATCGTGAGAGGTTCGTGAGGCTCTACGGGGACAGAGCGTGTCTGGGCCATCACGTCCGCTATCCAGTCCGGGCTGCCTCCAGGCACTCGCGTGCTTGGACATTGGCGACATCCCCTGTCGGTCCTGTCCCCTCCCATTCCAGACTGGGGAAGCATCCCTCATCATCGAAGTAGGTGTCCCAGCGCCCGTCCTCTCGCATAGCTGCATCAAGTGTCAGCGCAGAGACTTGGGCCTCAAGAGGTGTTGTGTCCGTAATGCCTGCAACACTTGCAGCGCGGGTTGAAGGACGCCCTGCCGGAGCTTGCGTGGACTTTCCTGGCGCGGCAGCCGGCTTACCCCAGGCGCGCGGGGCAACATAGTCCGGCGGTTTAGTCGGGGTTATGAAGGACGATGGGATGTCAATGCGCGACCGATTGATTGGTCCGGGGCAGGAGCCGTTTGCACTGCCGCAGTGCTTCTTGCAGAAGTGGCAAAGGCCTTGCGAGTTGAGGTATGAGTGTACTCGCCAGACAAACTCGTCGCGGGCGAGGGTAGATGGTGCGCTTGGTGTGGTCCTCACCGGTGCAGGCGTTTCAGTGGTGCAATGTAACGCTAGGAAGGAAGAGTTTGCTTGTTTCTCAAACGGGACCACCTCTAATAGCTGGCGTTTGTTAATCCGGTCTTGAAGGGCGTCCGGTAGGCCATAGACCAGGAATTGGGCCAGCTGCAGGTTGCCAAGCTTGGAGGTCTCGTTGGCGTCAAAGCTGAATAGGCCTTGTATCTACGAGCCCGAGTACTGTACTCTAGGAAGGTTTCAGCCTGCGACATTTTGAGTTTGCGGATCTGTCGTTGTAAACCTGAGCGCCAGTTTGTGGGGAGGGCAAAATTGAACATCCGAGTTTTGAAGTCGTTCCAGGATTTGGTCAGGAACCCAGATGCCTCGTTGGCGTAGAAGGACTGGAGGTTGGTCTCCGCAATGAGATTACCGAGGATCTTGATTCTGTCGGCCGAATTATTGACGTCTTTAGTGTCGAAAAAGATCTGTACACGGTGGATCCAGCGTAAGAACGGCTCGACCACCTGAAACAGTCCGCGGTAGATCGGGCCGTCCGATGTGCAAAACTTCTGTAGGTCAACCCGACCTGGACTTGTCTGTACCGGTTGAGCATCCGCCTTGTTCTTAATATTCATCGCCAGTATAAGTTCCTCTAGGCGGCTGATGCGGGCGGTGTTGGCTTGATGAGCAGACATAAGGATTTGTCGGTCGGTGCGGCGATCTTCAATGGCTTATCGACGGTCCTTGGCTGCTTGTCGACGGTCAGTCTGTGCTTCAATAATGGCCGCGTGTTGTAGCTTAAAGACCGATTTGAACCAATCTTTAGCTGTCTGCATGTCGGAGGCGTCCGCTGTGCGAGTCGACCCGGACGTTTCGTGGGCTGGGGCCGTTTTGTCAGACATTGCGGTGGAAGGGGTAGTCTTGGAAAGGAGTGGGATTGGAGCAGTTGGGTTAGACTTGAGTTGTTTCAGACGGCGTTGTTCGGCGTTACCAGATCGGATAATGGCCTCGGGGTCCGTTAAAGGGAGCAATTTGTCGGGGTCGGTATTGCTTCTCGTAGTCATAAACTAACACCCGCGAGTAGTCGAGAGAAGTAGGAAGAAGGAATAAGATGTTGAGGAGGTAGTGGCTGAGAAAAAAGGCAGCCAAGTCATCGATAGTGATTTGAAAAAGAAGAAAAAAAAGGCAGTCGAGTCGTCAAGGCAGCAAGGTCAGTCGAGTACAGTCGAGTTGAGTACGTTCAGTCAAGGGCCCAAGGCGATTCAGTCAGTTCAGTCCAGTCAATTCAGGTAGACAGTCGGAGTAGGGTCAATGTGATTGGTTTGGTGTGAGAAAAAAAAAGTGTAAGGACTAGGAATGTCCTTCACTGAATGAGCCGGGGAAGATGCTGATTGGACGGGCTAATGAGCCTAAGCGGATTCTAAGACCAAACACGGGGGGGACTTGATTTCTGACTCAGAGAGATGGAAGGGAAGATCTCTGCAGAGCCAGCAAGGGGAACTCAACAATGAAGACTACAAGGGAGGTGTGACATCTGAGGGAAGGGTTTGTGAACCAAGCCGGAGGGGGGGTTTACAACAAGCATCCATCCATTCTCCACAGTATTGTTTTTCCAAAAAAACCTGTTTCATAATGGGTCAGCTTAGTTAGGGGTCTTGAGAGTTCTTTTTGCCTAAATATTTAATCAAGAATTGATCCAAATTAGTTGAATTTGGCAGAGAAATCTAGAACAAAAAATTTTCCACAGGGGCAAATGTGCCATATTTTAGATTTACATTCATTCTTCACCGTCTGGTCCCAAATATCCTTGACGTTCATCATGAGGCACCCATTGTGCCTGGGGGAGGGGATGTGAACTCACAGGGCATCTTGTAGTACTGAAGAATGCCCAGAAATTACATTTTTTGCAGTAGTATGGATGGGTAACAAGTTTGTTTTCACATTCTCCTGGTGGACGTTGCCGCAATGCACCACAACTGAGGTTGCGTGGATAAGGGTATGGCTTGAGTGTATGCTTCTTGGGCCTCACCCCGGTAAGTTCTTGACATTTTGCACAAAGTATCTTCCTTCTGTTTGGATCAAGGAAAGATGATTGCACAAGGCCAATGAACATGACACAAGCAAGAATCCAGCGGGGGAAGTAGACAAGACTGTGCATGATGACAGGTAGGCCACTGAGTCTTGAGGGTTGTTCACAGCAGGGTTTGATCTCAGGGTTGTGGGGTGGCCAAGGATGAAACACAATGGGCTCTTGAAGTGGGGAAAGATAGCCACTATGCCAGCAAGGTGTGTTGGAGAAGTAATCTACCTGCTTGTTATAGGAGTGGTTTGGGTCAATTTGACTGCATAACAAAGAAGTGAATCTAGCCCTGGGCACCAGCTGGTAATTTGGCTTGGTTGATTGACCAGTGGAAAATCACAACACTTCCCTGCCCAGGTCATACAAGAGTATAGCTTTTTATCACCAGGAGTAGGTAAAGCATTGAACCTTAACCTGTAAAAGCTGAATGGACTGATGGCAGAAAAGGAGCATACAAAGTTGACAAGAAAGGAATCTTGGTACCAAGAAAAAACCCAAGTATCATGATCATAGAACCATATTGCTACATGGTTCATGCCAATGTATGACATAGAGAAAAAGAATTGCCCAAAAAAAACAATGTCTATTTAACATCATCAACTCAAATAATCACAAATGATGAACAGCAGTATAGCCCCAAAAAAAGACACATTGAAGATACAATATGTGAAGGAAGACAGAATAAAGAAGTATGTTAAAAGAAGCAAAAGAGGTAGTTGTTGCTTATTGTTGTAGTGGTAATACACATACATACATAGACTAAAAGACTACAAAAATGATTGGTAAAAGATTTCTGATGAAAAAAATAGGATGACACTAAAGTTGAGAAAAAGAAATAGGAAACAGAGAGAGATAGAGAGAACAAAAAGATGTGCGACATCACAATTAGTGGTCTATATAATAGAGAAAAAAGGCCTGACTAGACTACCAAAACAAATACTAAAAAAAAGATGCGATGTGCATATGGAAGAATCAAACTACTCTATGAACACTTTGCTACTGTTGCTGCTGCTTTTTTTTTTCTCTTTTTTGTTTATTTTTTGGAAGACCGAAGTGAATTAAGGCAGAAAGAAGATGAACTTATTAACATGGGAGAGCTGGTATATAACGATTGAGAGAGACGTTAAGAAAAAATTGTGCGGTATCTACTACTTTTCTATTTTCTAAAATGAGAAAACATCATTCATCGTAAAAAAGGAAGAGACAAATGTTGTCCCCCTGTCAAGTCGGAAGGAAGCTTTTATGTTTCATATTGTTTACTCTAAACTAAACCAAAAGAAAAAGGATTTAAAAAATGTCTCTGATTGAAGGAAAACCGAATGCTGCTGCTGATGATGATGATGTTAGTAGTTGGATGATTGGAAGGGTTTTTTTAATTGTAAATAGCCAAAGGAGGGATCCTATCTTTTTGGAATAAAAACTGTGGAACCCCACCCGAGATCAATGTCAGCCTTTATCGATAAACAAACCAATGAAAAAAATCTCACTCACGTTGTTATTTAGATCTTCGTTCTCCATAAATCGTGTAGGAAATAGAACTGTCAAAGTGAGAAAAAGGTTAAGATTGATTAATCTATGAGCCGCACAAAACGAGAGGGAGACAGCCGGAGGAAAAAGATCCGAAAAATACCCAAGTGGCCCTGAACCTCCGTCAACATTTCCTCCATCTGATCGCGTTCGATCGCAGTGAATCCAGCACGATCATCGACAGCCTTCTTGCTCTCGGCGGACTTACTGGTACTTCCCACCGATTTCTTGCGGGTAGTCGTGCCTGACTTGGAGATCGTCCCGGTGGAAGCAGCCAGGCCAGCGTTCCCAGTGGGTTCCTTGGAATGGCCAGTCTGAGTGCTACTGTTCAAGTTGTCACTCTCGGCGGCCGTCGTCGCCGCTCTGCTGTGACCTTCTCCTGGTCGCCCAACACCCATTGTACCTCCACTGGCAACACTCATCCCGCGAGCGCGTGAAGCAGTCATCGGTGTCGCCGGCTGTTGGGGCTCGGCCCTGTTGCTCGACCCTTCTCCACCAGCGGCCGATGATCCGTTGTTGCCCATGTTCAGGTTTTCCTCCTCCCCATTCCCGCCACTGTTCCAACTAGCCGGCCGGGCTGATTCTCTCAGGGGCTTCCCATGTCGGCTCTCCCATGCTGCGAACTCCTTGTATCCCTGCCAAGTCGTGACCTTGTCATCAGGTACACACTTGAACACCGTCCGAAAGATCTGGGTGTTTCGACTCGCGATGGCCGTCCATACCGAATGGTAGAATCGATCATCGATCGGATCTTCGAAGCCATTCGGGTCCACCTCGATTGAGGGCGTCGCGACCATGAACTGGGACTTTTTTGGATTCAGTGTTCGATTCCGTCTCGTGTTCGGGTCTGCATTCAAGAAATCATGTTGCGGTAAACCGGTCGCTTTGGATTGAGATTGCGTCGGTGTTCCTGAGCGAAAATTGGCATTGAAGTCATCCGTTGGCGACCGAGAACGAGCCTTGCCGTTACCATTATAAGGAGTGTCTTTCTCACGTAAGTACTCAGGCTGCACGATGACTGGAGGCCGACCAGTCGAGTTTTTCGAAGTAGATGCCAGAGGGTCACTGGTAGAAAAATTTGTCGGCTGATCTATTTCCTCTAATGTGGGCACTAGTCGTGAAGTCGGCTCGGCTTCGCCATCCTTGGATTGATCTTTACCCTTGGCTACTTGCGGGTTCTCGCGTGCTTGCTTTAAAAGCTGATCATGAACTGAGATGTTCGATGTTGGGTCACCAACCTTATCAATGTCGTGTGAGTGAGGGTCCAACTTGTCTTTGACACTATGCCCCATCGACTTAATCCCGTTCACAAATCTGGCACCAGGTGGGATAAGCTGGGTGATACCCTCGCGCGAGGTAGATCGCCCTCGTTCTTCTCGATCTGGATCCCAAGCTTGAGACGCCAAAGAATTCGACGAAGATTGGTGATCAACCTTAGGTACCGCGGCGGCCCCGGGCTGATGTCCAGCGTGTTCCTCCTGCGTCTTGATCTGCTGATCGATCAGATCCATATTTGCGTCCTCTGCGTCCATTGCATCGACATCGATTCCCAAGTGTTCTCGCATCAGTCGAACTCGCATGGTGTGTGCAAATCTACCAACTTTGTAAGGCTTTCCAGCCATCCTACTGTCGATCATGTCGGTGTCTCTGATCACACATGCCAACTCCGAATCTCGATCGCCTCTTTGCGATCGCTCGTTGATATTCGCAGATCCGATGATCACACACCGGTCATCGACAATCATCGCTTTGGCATGGATGTATACACCCTCGGTTGTCAATTGACCGTTCTTCAACTTTCCCCATCCACGAAGACTAAAGAAATTGATGTAATCATTGGGATTGATTCCTTCAGCGCGTAGACGACCGAATATGGAGGTTTCGCCTCGACAGATGGACTTGTTCTGACAATCGACTATCAGACGGACAGAGCCTGCAGCATCTTCATTCAACGGGGAAGGGTATCCAGGCATGGTTGGAATGATGATGACTGCCTTCCAAGGAGTACCTTCTTCGTGGGCTTGTATGATTCGATTGACTAGTGCATCCCCGATTTTGTTGGTGATGACTGTGCCCTCGACTATACATGAAGTGATAAAAAACTGATTCTCGATGTAAACAAAATGTTCGCTGCATTGGATCGCCTTGACATAAGCACTTTGAATCGAATGCTCGACTTTATTAGGCGTCCCAATCGACCAGGGACCACAAGATCTACAGATCTGAGCTTCACAAGTCCCAATGATTCGGCGCTCTGAAAGCTCCATCGGTGTAAAATCCGATGGGGGGATGAGGAAAGGCATCAAGCGAGTATGATTTTTGGTACGCAAAAGATAGTTCCATCGCTGAACAAAATGCCGGCACAAGTCACGTGCAGGCTGACCAATTAGCTGTAGTCCTATGTCATGCCTAAGAAGTTGAGATACAATTTGTCGAAGAAAAAAAAATACTTTCAATTCACGCGCAGAGAGTGTGTAGAATAAAAGATGGGTTCCACATACCAGGGCTGTCTAGGCACTCGGTCACGATCGTACATATCTTCTTCTGGTTTACTTAGATTGAAGAAATCAGAAACGCGTTGGTTGCTGTAATCTTTGCCAGGCCAAATCTGGCCGTCTGCCGCTTCAGCAGACTGTGGATGAACAGATTCAATGAATTCTAAACCACCACTAGCATCGTCAATCAGGGCATGCCCAGGAGTATCCCAGCGACCAAAACAAAGATCGAGCCCTCCCATGAAAGCAATCGTTTCATCGATCACACATAACTTTTCGTGGTGAGACCAAAGAAGATTACCAGTACCCGTGTGCGAAGGAGATCGTTGCATGTGGATATTCGGCGATAAAGATAAAAGTCGCGATTTAGTGTAGCCTGATTCGACGGGTGTAAAGCCATTAGATACTTCTTTGTAAACGATCACAAAGATTTGAACGCCCTCATTTGCCTTGCGCTCGAGAAGTCTATCAAGTCGCCATTTTTGGTTTTGTGCTGGTGGTCTTCTCAAGTAGAGTTCTGGTGACTTTGTTTTTGATAAGAGCGCCACAGAGTGAGAAAAAGGGGGAGAATGATAAGCACTGGAGTTATTCCCACATGACGAAGGTCAATGCTCGTAACTCACAAGCCACCAGTCATGGATGTAAATCCGTTCCTTGGCTAGTAAGATCGCTTTGCTAAGATTCCAAAAGTAATCTCTTCCATCGATTAACCACTGGGCGGAGACGTTCATCCTAATGGGCGCATAGCTATCGAAGCGGTTCTTTCCGTGCCAAATCGACCTAGCCACCATGCGTTCGATAGAAGCGATGAATTGATCCATCTGCCTCTCATTCTTAGCGATCAGCTTGACTTCCCGCTCAGAGTTGGTGATGTAAAAGACGTGCGATGATGCGTGCTGGACTTGTCGAGAGTCCGCCGCTAGTTCAGCAGCCACACCTTCGTCAGGATCGCCACTGCCCGAGGGATTTCCTTGGGCAGACTGATTGGGATCGACTTCGTTATCAAAATTCAGGGTTGGTGCGTGTTGCTCCTTTGATGCATCATGCCAATCTAAGAGATGAATGCCTTGCTTCAATAGACGCGTGGGTCGCTTCAATTGAAACTCATCATCTACCAAGAAGATGTCATAAATTTCAGTCTGATCTGGCTCATCAACTGAGATCAAATAAGATTCTCGAACAATAAACCACTTGGGCTCGCGACGGCCTTTGAATTTGAATGGATGAAAACCAGTGCGTTGGCGCCTAGAAAATGCGCCATTGGACATGATTCTGAGATATCCCTGTTTCCCTTGGAAGCCACCTCGATTGGCTAGAGCTAGAGATAGCGCGGAGATCTCGAGAAATTTACAGAGTCGATTTGCTTCTGGTACAAACATCTGTTGTGGAAAACGAAAAATAGCCGGAAGGATCGACGTATCAGTATAAATGCATCGAATTAGGAAGTCTTGTGGGGGCAAACGAACGGTAGCCTTGGTGAGCTTGATAAGATACTCCTGTAGACCGGCTCGTTGGAGTCGCGCAAACTCGGCCTTGCCTTCTGCCTTCCCTTCACGTTTGAGTAAGTTGTAGTACGGCAACGAAGTCCTGGGGAAGTTTGGTAGGGTGACATCGCTCGAATTTCGAGAAACGATGTTGGATGCTTTGTAGGCCGCATGGAGGTTGACAAAGTCACGAAGTTCTCGGTAGATGACCCACTGCAACGGGAAAAAAAAGCATACAGAAGTATGATCAGGATGACAGAAAAGACATGAGAATCGACTGATGATCGTGAAACTGACGTGGAGTAAGCCATCTCCGTATTCCAATTCGATCTTGAACACGGCATGAGTCGCATGAAATGGATGAATACTATCACTGATCTTCAGTTTGAGATAATTCATCAGAATTGGAATTCGATGCTGTCCATGTTCGTCTCTGTCCATCGCCATTTTGAGCATAATTCTGCAAGAAAAACAAATACATACCAGTCAGCAAAAGCCAAATTGGTACCATAGTTGAGAAGCTGAACTACGTACATTGCCAGTAAACCACTTGAGAGTTGAGCAGTCAATTCGGGGCCACGGATGTCTTTTTCGGTAGTAGATTTGGATTTAATTCGAAGGAGTTGATTGATGGTGGTAGTAGCCCGAGAGGTCTGCCCGGAGCTCTCACGATCGGTAGGACTCAATCCGACGGACGAGCCACGGATCAGTTTAGCCTTAACAGCACCCCAACGTTTCGAGGCCGAGGTAGGGGCCGGAGTCGGGCTCTCTGGAGAGTCGCGTTTGGTGGTGTTTGGCTGGAGCTGGGTGGTGGTGGTGGTAGTGGTGAGTTCTGGTGGACGGTCACAAGCATCCGTAGATGAAGTGGGGGGGTCTTGGGGATCTCGGTTCTGGGTGGGGTCTACTTGTTGGATTTGGTTGTGATTCTCGGGTGGATGGGTTTTCCCTGTGGGTGTTCTGGGTGGTGAAGTGTTATTCGGGCTGGTGACTGTTGGATAGAAGCTACTGATCGATGGGTGGTTGGGTTCGGTTGGACTGATGTTTGGCTCGGGGTGAGTATTAGTAGTTCTTGATTGAGTTACTAGTCGAGTGAGGGAGGAAGGTGACATCTGAGGGAGGGTCAATGGTATTATTAAAAAAAATGAAAAAAGAAGAAGTATCGCAAATCAAAAAGATGTCGAGAAAGAGAATTGGAAAGAAGGAAGGCGGTCAACAGGAATGGTCAACAACAGCTCCACTGACCAGTCCTTCTTGTAGCACCACCCCCTCCACTTTAAGAGAAGCCTCACCCCACACAGCGCAGCCATTCTCAGATCAGAAGAACCACAGCTGGAGATTGATCATCGAACCGCATACATCCAAGAACTCTCCACTCAGCAGCTTATGTATCTACCACCATCATCAACGGAGTGTTGCCAAGTCAAACCACATGGTACAGCTAGTTTCAGAAAGGTTGTCACCTTGAGGTGGATTTTCCAAGCAGAAATCAAGGTATATTCAGGTTAAGTTTGCAAATCCATCTACAAACTTGTGCTAAAACAGTAAGTTTACTGCAAAAACGTGGTTTGAGTTTGAGTTTGCCCATGAATTTGGTATATCCAGCACTTTTTCTTGAAGGAAAATCCACACCAAGGGCGACAACCTTTCTGAAACTAGCTGTAACGGCTGGAGAGTACAGCTGGATGTTGTTGATAAATTAAGACCCACCCTGACCCACCCGGTGTTATGTACCCATGGTTGTTGAACCAATCTACCTTATTAAAATTGTATACTCACAAGTTTCCAAGGATTTTCACCTTTCCTATTTTCAACATAGATCCAGCCCACAGGAAACGGAACCCTAATTCTGGAGAACAATTTCCAGAAAAACTCAATTCTTCGTCATCAGCACCTGTATAATTAGACCAGCCAAGACCAGAGGTGACGTTAATGTCACTCAGCACGGATCAGTGCCGACGAAGACAGCCAGCGCACCCAGGATGAGTTCATGCTACACACATATGAACTCAGGTCGATATCTCAGTCGTTCCGCAGGTAGAGACAACGAGACTGCTTGCGGATTGTCGGATGACATGTTTTGGCTCTTGCGCTCGTTAAATAGATAACTGAACTTTTGCATTTGGTGCACAGTGACATCAACAAATCCAGGTGGGCAAAGGTTGAATTCCTACGTCCCCTTTGGGAGAAAGAACTTGAAGTGTGATGGAAGAAGGTCAGGATTGGCATGTACCCCAAGAAGCATCATAGATTGTAGATGAGACCTATTCATTCTCTACGCGTAGTAACTTGTAGGCCTTACTCAGTTCACTCAAAATTCATCTCCACGCAGTATAGCCAGAAGACTTCTTCACATTGGCGATAAGTGAATTAGCTTGTAATTAATTCAAACTTCGAACTAGATGGGGTATTTCATTTCATTTTTACGATTTTGATTGAGATAGACTAGAGGAACAAAACGACAACAATAGACGAAATTTTTATATACAACAAGACAACAATAATAAAGATAAGAAGCGAAGAGAGGAAGTGTATGCGACACCAGCAAATTATGATGATTCATCTTCATTGGCTCCAATTAGCCAACCGACACCGGAGGTAAATTTGTTGCTGAGAGCAGTAGTTAACCGATCAGTTCCAACGCCAACGCCGAAGCCAAGAGGATGATCAGAGTTCTGATCGACGAGATTATTGAGGGGAAGACTGAAGTCAGGTTGAGAGGTATGAGAAGGGTTTGCTGGATCAGGGGTATGAGAAGAAGAAGAACGAAGGTCGGACTGATTGGCGCCCAAAGAGTTAGAGAGTGTCATCCGAGGAGGCGATTCGTTAAGGGTCGATCTGAAGCCACCCTGTGGGGGTAAGGTTTTACTCTTGAAAGGGAACAGCGAGGCCGCACGTTCGAGCGTCCGACTGGCTAGGTCTCCTCCCGGTAGGCCCAGGTTCGTTCCCCCTCCGCCTCCTGAGATCACGTTCGACTCGCTCATCGATTTCTCGAGCTCGATTGAGTTCCACAGCGAGCCCCCGCGAGCCATTGAGTCAGATCGGGTGCTTCTGTCAAGTCCGCTCGACTCCCTCGTTTCCACTAACTCCTCCTTGGCCTCCGCTTCTTTGCATGCCATCAAGAGCCTTGGGATCTGCTCGGCGGGACAGATAATGATCGCATGGGCCATGAATTTGGTCTTGAACCCCTTCAGACTGGGTTGATTGGCTCCATAGCCATCATATCTTCCGATCCCCTCGCAAGTTTTCCAAACCACTTCCGACGCTTCGTCAACTCTTGATGATGATGATCCCATCTGATCATCCTGTCTCGATCGCTTCTTCATCCGTTCAAGTATCGAAATCATTCTTTCACACGTCTCCGTCCCAACCGGAAGGCTCCCTTCTCCGAGAGCAGCTTGAACCACCATCGATAATGCTTTGATCTGGACAAGTGAATCTTCACCATAACCTAGCTTATTGACCAAGTCGATGATCATCTCTTGATGTTGATATGCCGTACGACTTACGTCGAGCACTTTCGCAATAAGGTCTAGCTTGTTGGGTTTCAGACGAAACTCTATGGGCGACATGAGAACTCCAGCTTGTGATTCAATTTTGAATGATGCCAACCGACTAGTTGCTTCGATGAAATCTCGTTCTCTTTTGATGTTCAATGTTTGAGGTACAACGGTAAGGCTGTGTCAAAGCGTCATTGAGATGGTCAATACATGCTTTCTTCATGAGATGTATCGTTAAACGTTTTATTTTTATTGTTTCAGATATGGTACATACCAATCATATGCCATCTTCATCTCCCTTGTGTGCAAATTGCCCGACTCAGCATTGTCGTAAAACTCGCGTGACGCAGCGATTACAAGCTCTTCTTGTGTTGAGGCCTCTAGTAAAGGACCATCGGACGTTGATGAAAACAGTGACTTGGCAAGTTTGAACTCTAATCAAAGCGCACAGAGATACTAATCAGAACTCTACTGGTATTCGGGGTCCAGTCACTTAAGAAAAATAGAAAACAAATGCTTACTTCCGGAAGTTAGCAAGCCAGAGAAGAATAGCTTTGTGATTTCTTGTTTGTCCAACAAATCCAGTGCGCGACCGGGCTGTGATAACTCAATCATCGCTTCTAGTAGGACTTCCCACTCTTCCTCACTCTCCATCTCGATCCCACCCTCCTGTCGAGCGATCTTGGTCGCCAGTTTCTGTTGGGCGATTTTATTGCCATGGAACTTGAGCACGAGATCAGCAAGTCTAGCAGGTACGTTCCAACGAGCTAAAACCTCTGCAGTCGTCAGATGATCGTCTAGCCCATCTAAAATCGATGACAATCGTCCGTTATCAAGCTCTCGCAAGGTATTGTAGACAAGAGTGGTTCCCTCTAGGCTCCATATTGTCGACCCTGTGCTGCTCGTGAAAAGTCCATGCAAGTAGTCTGCTGAATTGAATTCGTCAGACGAAGGAATGTTATCTGGAAAGGCAGGCATGCATTCGAACATCCGCCCCATGCATTCCCATTCATCAAGCGACGAGCTGGTATACAGACAGGCGACTAGGATCCGGGCGAGATCTTCATTGCTTTTGATCGGCCGCTCCGGGAGCTTCATCATGGGGGAACTTGCCTTGATGAGAGCTTCGAGAAGTGGTAGATGATTAGACTGACTGAGGGCCCAAGTTCGGAGTGAGTCTGGAATCGTGGATTCAGCTCCTGGGACCGAAGCTCTTGCTCTTCGACTTTCGAGAACGCCGAGGTAGGGTAAAACTAATCGATGGATATCCTTGATTAGACTGGAAGGACTTGATCCAGCAAGATAGGCTTTGACTATTTCATCGGGGGACTTTGATGACCATTCCTCCAACGTCCAATCATATTCAGCTGATGAATAGGGGGCATCATAAAGAAGCTTGGCTAACAGACTTAAATCTTCAGCCAGTAATTCGAGTCCAGGTACTCCTGAGGCCGCACCGTGCTGTATGATTTCGATCGCCGTGTCGATACAGCCCGTGAAATGATCAATAGCCTTGACACGTAGCAAATACCAGTCGGTCAGTTGCTGTTCAGTTAATTCACTTGACAGAGACTGTTGCTGAGCAGGACTGAAGATCGTGGTGATGACGTTTTTGCAGGAGGTGGATGGCTTGGATTTGATGATTGGGCGGGGCAGGAGAGCAATTAAGTCTTGTCCATAGTCCAGATCACTAGGCCGTGCGTGTAATGGAATCGAATCGAAGAGGATGGTTGAATTTAAGCTGATCTGTTGACTTTCAAGCAACCGTCTCAATCGACCGAGCTGGAGCTGAGAGGCAAATAGTAAGGCCAAGTCGTCTAGATCTGACTGAAGGAATGACAGGAATGAAGGATTGGGTTCCAGTTGATCAACCGCCTCGTCCAGATCTTCGAGTGGATCAAGCTCGAGACCTCCCCAGTTATCTGTCTCTTCTGTTTCATCTTCCGTTGATTCATGTTTATTATCTTGATACGATTTTTCGGGTTGATAAAGCTCATTATAGATCTTCCATTTTAGTTCCGCCTGAATCGAGAACCATTTCGCCGAGCAAGCTTCAGCGATCTCCTGGTTTCCTTTGATCAAATCTTCGATCCTTTCGGGCTTCAGTTCGTCTTCTAGATCTTCTACCGATTCGCTTAGGACTTGTTTGAGAGAGAAGTCCAGATGAGAAGCAGACGAGAGTTGGTCGAGCCAGCGGTCTATCGATTCATTTAGTAGCTTGATGAGTTGATTTTCTTGGGGATATGAATATGATGATGATGATGTTGATGGTGGGGGCTTGTTTAAGAAGTTGATTATCAGTCGAGCAGCCCATGTCGGATCTGTTTCGAGTACGGTTTCGAGTAAGCTCAGATCGATGGTGCTCTGTTCGGCCGATGATAGTTGTTGGATGAGTCTGTGTTTGCTGATGTAGGCTGGTTCGGTGTCGAGTGAGGTTGCTAGTCCTGCTGCTGTTGACCAGTCTTGTCTGTCGATGGCTTCTCCTAGTGATTCTTCCATCCTGTTGTTTGCTGTGAATGTCTCTGAAAGAAATAGTGGGTGATCGCTGGCAACCAGGCTGCCCAGCAGCTGTCACAGATCCAGCTGGCCGTTCACAGCCGGGAGTCCGATCGACGCGGGCCTCGAAGCTGTCACGCCCCCTCTACACAGACCCCATGGCCAAAAATTGACTTCAGTGCCTCAAAGTTCAGCCTCCCTGCCAAGTGGCCTGGCCACCGTTTACAGATTATTATAAGCCGACGTAGTCCTGACGGGTGGCAGGGGTGGAACTGGCAAGGAAAATTCCCTTAACCAAACATTTGCCAAGCCAATCTCTTTGGTTTCATGGATTGGATGGGTTCCATCGGATCCGAAATCACACCACCTCGGTAAGAAGCACCCCGGGACGGAAGAGAAAGCTCAACCAAAATTCCAACAGTAGCAGCGTTACCGTGTTCTGATTATCTGTATAGCCCAAGTTCCAACTAAAAGGGCAGTGCAAGGTAAAATGCATTTTTTGAGTACATTATATACATCTTTTCCAGAAATGTCGGGTTGGGGAACCGTTTTCCTCGAATGGCTCCCCATCGACAAGGGCCTCCCATCGGAACATCATGAAATGGAATTCACGGGTATTTAATCCCCAAATCTGCCTATTTCCTCTAGTCGTGAATAGCACATGAAAATTGACTCTCTTAAAAACTCACTGTGGGCCCAAAATCTTATTTCTCAGACAATTTAAGTTTCCAACTTAACACCAACCTTTCCACCATTGAAAGTACTCCAAACATGCTTTCCAGTTTTCATCTGTCTATCTACCTTGTGGTCCTCCTCCAAGGCTGCCTCTATAGCAAAAAATTAGAAAAAAGGATGGAAAACTGGGTAGAGGGAGTTCCTCAAATCTGTAGAGGCAAGTATGCTGCTATAAAATCAATGTTTAACTTGCCACTTACTCCAATTTTATCCATTGTGAAAATTTCTTAGCTTCAGCTCACAACCATGAATCTGGTGCTGAGTCCTCTTCAGGAGGATCAACAGGCTAGTTTAAATTTACACCCTTGTGAATGGAGTAAATCAATTCTAACATTTGAATTTATCAAACTATTTTACCTAAACAGTCCCTTCAAATAAAGTAATATGGCATTCCAAAAAACCTGAATCAGAAATAAACACAGTACATACACCTCAGCAAAAAATTGGTAGGTTTTTTACTTTTCAATTCCTGTTTACAAATTTCCTCAGTCTTTAATCACACATTGACCCTTCCCATAATTTACCAATCCAAGAAGTAACATCTTGTGGTAAGTTGCCATTTTATACTCCAAAATCACACCATGTCAAGCTCATACATTTTAAATTGACCAGATCGTGATGAAAATGAATTGCAAAGCCCAATGATTGATGAGCATACATCAATATTAGAAGCTTTGGTTGCCAATCAGAACCTTAGATCATCACATGAACCTGATGATACCAACATGGACTCAGCAGTTCACATGCTATGGTGTTTTTATGTAGAACAGCTTGCACCACTTTTGAAAAGGAAATCTCAGGAACCTCCTGATTGGGTCAGCAATTCAGCTTTGGCGGAAGGATATTGGGTTTCCATGGGAGCAAATTGCCTTGAAAGTTTGAGAAACTGTCTCAAATCAGCTATCCCAGGACAGAATTTTCAAAATACAGAGCTCATCCTTGTCCGAGAAGCTCTACATGGACTTTCTGTCCTGTACAAACATGCATTCATCACCCAGGACCAAGTCAAAGAGTTTTTCACAGACAGAATAATCATAAAATTAGTTGGAAGGCACCTTGTTGCCATTTATGGAGAAGAATACCCTAAATTTTCTAAGCTTGTCAACTTCAAACCTGACATGAAGTTCCTCAAGAAAGATTTCACAACCTATGATTTGCATTGGTGGCTGAATGGTAAGTGAAAAAAAAATTTCATGTAAAGGATAAATTGTCTAACAGAAAAGCTTTTTTCTCCATCTTTTTTTTAAAAACAAACTAGTGATTGACAAGCCAACTGAGGGGAAGATTCTTTGGAGATCCATGCAGGCACTTTTTGTGGATATGCAACCACACAGCACACTTCAGGAAAAAGTTTCAATAGTTGATTGGAACTATTTTTTTGGTGATAGCTTCTATCATGAATTCCTATGGGCAGGGGGTCCAGCTGGAAAGGAGGGTATCAAAGCAAGTGGGGAGAAACTAGAAATTTTAATGGAAAAACTGACCCACATCTTGAAACAAGCATCCATGTCTAACAAATGGGAAGAATTTCTTTCAGTCTTCTGGATTACCCGCTTTGTGGCAAATTATAGGATAGGTGGTATACTATTGACAGAAAAAATAGACAATTATATTGGCTTTGAGGTACAACATGAGTTGACTAAAACTCTACTTCAGATGCAAGAAATTCAAAAAAACATTTATAGCCGACAATGGTGGTTTTCTTTGAAAGGTCAACATGTCTCTGTTGATGATTTACACTGGATCAAAAGAACTGAAAAGTCAAGAGATGAACAAGAAGGTACCAATTACATAGAGATAGAAGCCAAATACAAGACACTAATGAAACAAATAAGCACAATTGATAAGCCTTGCCAAGCTGGTATTAATTCAATTTTAATTCACTTCAAAAAACCGGATAAGAAGATTTTGAATGGATGGCTGCAACCAGCAGAAATTGAAATTGATAAATCAATTTCTGCAAATTTGGAAAAGTCAAGGTTTGAAAGAGTCAAGGCTCACATTTATCACGGAAGAACAGAATTAAAAGGGATGGGGCACAGAATCAGGGGTAAGGATTTGATAGGTCAAAATAAGTAAGTATTGCATAAATTCCTGTGAAACGTTTTGTAGTGGTCCTGAAAATGTGATTCAAAGCAGACTGCATAGCTGACCTCTGGTTGTTCTAAACAGACCAAAAGAACCATCAAATCATTGAGAATTTGTATTGCTTTATAGAATAGCCTATAGATGAATTAAATCCAATTTTTAAAGATCATTCTAACTATTATTTTTGGAGAATTCATACAGCTATATATGTTTTCTTTAAGTTATCCAGGATTTTCATTGTTTTCTTTTCAAGGTTCTAATTTATTCTTTCAAATTCTTTATTTCTGTTGAATCTTGATCTGGTATTTTCCTGCAGTATTGGTAATGATGGAGAATGGTGGTATAGATCCGATATCCTTGTTGGTATTTGTACCAATCACTTGATTGGGTAATTTCTCTTTGATTTTGGATGTATTTATTCTATTCAACCATATTGCTAAGTATTGTTTTTACTTAATTTTCACATTCATTTTCTTCTGGTCCTGTGGGTATTTCTCTCTCATGAGTTCATTCCAGCCTGTGAAAGCTACAAGAACATCATTCCAACCTCCCAGATTTACGCTACCAGAAACTCAAGTGGTTAAACACAAGTGTGTGGAGGCAGATTGAATAACTTTATCTGAATGTTTTCTAGAAGACAGTCTGTTGAGTTTTCATCCTCCATCAATTTTGTTGGAGAGTGTTGAAGTAGATTGTGTTCGCAGATACTCTCACCAACCTTTGAAAAACCTCACATGAGAAATTCATTAACCGTATGATCAGCCCCTCAGGCTCTGGCAAGCCATCTAGTCCCATAGCCACAAGGGACTTTGACAATCAAGGGGGGGGGGGCGCGGTCAGAATTTAGTGTATTACAAGAGGAAAACTTGTGAGTTATTTATGAATAAAATAACTTGGCTGGATTGGACTCAACATCAATTTGTGAAGGACAGGGAAGTAAGATAGGACAGGACATAACATTACCAGTTGGCAGTCTGATGTTGCACTTACTGATAAACAAGCCATATAAAATTTGGTTTCTCCTTCTTTGAGCTTAGGCCCTGCTTGGCAGTGTCATAAATTTAGGTGTAATATTGGATTCTTCATTTAACATAACATTAACCAAACAAAATTATGTAACAAAATTGTTATTCAGGCAAGGTCAAATAATGCATTAATCAGCACTAAAAAAACTCATATCCCAGGTCAACTTAGGTTCCTTAATATCAACATCACACTTCTTATGGCTCAAAAGTGTGATATTGGTATTACGGTGCCCATGATAGCCCAATCTCTCAACTTTCTTCATACTGACATTGAAAGAAGTAGTTTAGCTTGAATTGATAACCATTTTGTTACATATTCGTGAGTGGTTTAGCTTTTATTCAATTTTATCATCCAATATTACGCTCAAAGTTATGACGCTACCTTGACATGGTGAGCCTTACAAGCCCTGTTATCATTCAAAAGTACACAGAAAAATTTACATAGATTATGACAAAGGTTATTGTCTCTTGAGATTTGCTAATTTACCCAGGAACTGCATTTGTTTTTTTGGTTGAAGCTATCATGTAATGTAGCTATCCTCAGTATCAATCCCCTTGACTTTATTGTATACTTGAAGATCGTTTTCGCTAATTTTATCTAAATCAACCCTATCCCATTGCTGAATAAATGTCCCATATCCTCGTTCACCCTCATTTATCCCCGGTGGCTCGTAAGCCTTATTCACAGATTCGTCAGGTTTTGACCAGTATCTCTTGGCGGGTTTTCCAGGAGATTCGAGTCGGAATGGATGTGCTTCAGTATTCAACACATACTCGTCCAACGAAATCAGGTCTGGCTCCGAGAACAAAAGATAGTAGTACTTGAATCTGTCGCCATTTACAAGAAACCAGGTACTCGATAAGTCAGTATGCTGTTGCAATCATTTTGAGTATTACTAAGAAAATGTTGGTGCTTCCAGAGATCTACTTACGTCTCTGCCAAAACAAAGCTCTGTTGGTGATCAGACAAGACGGGAGGCCAACGATTTACATCTTTCAAACTTGCAAAACCAAACTCCGTGACACAGGATTCCATCCAGCTAGTAAACCTGGGCAAAGATTTCAAGATTAAGATTTGCATTGAAAGATAAAATTGCTACCTCAAAGATCATTACTTGGAACTCACATCCTCCATCCTCGGTCTTGCCATTGGCGGTCGCCAGTAATACGCCACATATAGTATACGGATCTGGCAAGCATCCTATCAATTTTAGCCAAGCAATACCATACGTTGAAAGGATGAACGTGATATAAACCCTTTCTCACTCTATTGTTTCCGGTCTGCCAATATAGCGAGAATCCATTGTTGAACTTACAGTTCGGGGATTCATTCTCACCCCGATGCGGCGCAGCCAAGCACGTGGTGGTGTGAGATGGACAAGGTTCGAAACCTAGTTGGGAATGCATCGAATGCTTAAAAGACTTCTCTGTTGTCACAACTGTTGTTTTCTTTTTCTTCATTCGATTTCTCATCTCTTTCGCTCTTGTGTCTCACTCGCCTTACTAATCGTGTCTTGCTCGCCGATTAGGTTTGTTCATTTTTCATTCTCACTTTTTTCTCTTTCTCTTCAGAGTTGTTTATCTCATCTTCATTTCTTCTCAGGTTCGCTATTTGTGTTTGCTCTCGTAGTTAGTTCACGAAGGTCGTGCTCTAACATTCTGGTTTGGAAACCATCAGGTTAGAAATGAAATACCGAATTCGATTTCTCATCTCTTTCGCTCTTGTGTCTCACTCGCCTTACTAATCGTGTCTTGCTCGCCGATTAGGTTCGCTATTTGTGTTTGCTCTCGTAGTTAGTTCACGAAGGTCGTGCTCTAACATTCTGGTTTGGAAACCATCAGGTTCGCTATTTGTGTTTGCTCTCGTAGTTAGTTCACGAAGGTCGTGCTCTAACATTCTGGTTTGGAAACCATCAGACTTTAGGTTTATTAGGTTATGAGCCCAGAGGCGCATTAACTGCACTACTCATTCTAACCGATACCTACAAGACAAGCCGACCAAAAATGAACGACAAATCCACGAATCCTGCTATCCCAGTCCTGTCCAATCTTAATTGGGACTTGTGGAGTATGCTGGTCGAGGGTTACACGAAGCAACATGATCTCTACTCATTCATCTCGAGTGACGAAGCCGCACCGACTGATCCAGCCGAGCTAAAATCATTCAAAACTCGAAAAATGAAAGCTTCTGGAGTACTACAGCAGTACATGGGAATTACCAATTACCAGAAATTCCGAACCAAAGATACTAAAGACGATCCGCGAGCGATGTGGCTGAAACTTGAAGGTCATTACCAATCCTCGGCCATCTCAAATCAAGCTAAAGTCTACAACGACTTCTTGGCGTTTCGATTCAAGGGAACCGACATCGAATCATTTATCATCGATCTTACGACTCATATTAGTCGTCTCAACGCCGTTGGCCTCAGGATCGGTATTCCTAAAGACTTTGAACTTCACGAAAATCTTTTTTGTGAAAATGTTCTTGAGAAAATTCCTTCCGGTCTAATCCATACCCGCGAAGTTCTCATTCAAGGTCGCCCTCTTACGGTCGAAAAACTTCAACGTCTTCTTGAAAACAGAAGGCTTGACGACTCCACAGTCAAGATCAAATCTGAAGAATCGGCTATGAAAGCAGTTTCGAAATCCTCAAACCCATCCGATCCTCAGTGCACCGACGGAACTCACAACCCCGAGGCACATCATCCTGAGTGGCGATGTTTCCAGCTCCATCCTGAACAACGGGCTAAAATGGAGAAGAAGAGAGCGAAGAGTCAGGCTAAAGCAAAGAAAGCTGGAAAATCCGAAACGGTCGACGACGACTCATCAACATCGAGCGTTGCATGGCATACAATCAAAAAGGCTTTCTCAGTTAAACTTGCCCCGAACACCGCTTATCTTGACAGTGGCGCTTCACACCACATGATTTCTGATCGATCTGCCTTCTCAACTTACTCGACCGACTCAAGGTGCAAGATAGAACTCGCTGATGGGAAGACTACACTCTGCCCTGGCATTGGAAACGTCTATGTCAAGACCGCGACTGGTCAATCTCTCAAACTCGAATGTCTGCATGTCCCGCAGCTTGTGGGTAATCTCATCTCCGAGGGCCGTTTGTTCCGACGAGGTTGCGATAGAGTTAGGACTGGTCCGTTATCTGCCAAGATCGTTAATGAAGGGGTCACTTTGTTCAACGTCAATCTCAATGAACAAGATGTCTTTACGATCGATATCGAGATCGTCAAAGGCAAGTCATCTCCTTCGGCAAAACTCTCGTCAAGAACGACATCTGACATTGAACTCTTACACAGGCGGGCGGGGCATCCAAGCAACGACTCCTTGAAGAAGATGTACGGATTATCTGATTTCAAACTTCACTGCGAATCCTGTTCCCTTTCCAAATCTCATCGCTTGCCGTATTCTGGTACTCTTCCTTTGTCAACCCATTGTCTTGAATACATACATTTTGATCTCAGCGGCCGTATCAATCCTCCCACTTCAGAAGGATTTGAATATTACTTTAAAATCACGGATCAATACTCGTCGTATAAATTTGTTTATCTTCTACGTCGAAAATCCGAAGCTTTTTCTTTCTTTGAGCAATTTCATAACTCCGTTACTACTCTTCACTCCCGTCCAATAAAAAACATCACCACCGATGGTGGGGGCGAGTTCAATTCGAATGAGTTTAAGGAGTTTCTCAACTCAAAAGGCATCACTTCGCATATTACTGCACCGTACACTCCTCAGCAAAATCCAGTCGCTGAGAGAGGTAACAGGACGACAACCGAAAAGGCTAGAGCGCTTCTTAAACAGGCTAATCTTCCGCACACCCTATGGGGACATGCAGTGGAAACTGCTGTGTTTCTTGAAAACATCACTCCGACTCGGAAGAAGAAGTGGCTTACCGCTTATGAACTATGGTTCAATCGCCAATTCGACAAATCTCGTCTCAGGCCGTTTGGTTGTCAGGCCTACATCAATCTTCCTGAAAAGAAGAGGCATGCCAAATTCTCAGATACATCTAAGAAGGGTATATTGATTGGCTACCAGCTCGGGATGCATAACTGGCGCATCCTGACTGTGGATCAACGAGTGGAGTTAAGTCATGACGTCACCTTTGACGAGACTTTGTTTCCAGGAATCTCCACGTTCGATCCCGCTGGTTTAATCTCTCCGTTGCCTATGATGTCTGAAGGTTTAGATTCCGATGAAGAGCCCCAACCTATGGTAGAATCACCCACTTTAGAAATTGAAGATTCAGATGATTCGGATGACGAAGTCCAGCGACAACTGGCAAGTCCAGACGATAATCCTCATCGTGATGATTCATCCTCCTCTTCAAATCCAACTCCATCCTCGTCAACTCAGGCACGTCCAGGATTTGACATGGTTCTTCAACCGATAAATCAAAAAGCTCCGAAAGATATAAGCGCGGACATAGATCAATCAAATATCATCTCCACTAAGCGTCGAGCGCACGTGGCGATTGCCGACCAAGATTTCGACTTTCATGTTCAGTGCTTCCTAGCGGGAGCTCAATTCTTCGATCAAACAGCTGAAGCCCCCAAAACTTACTCTCAAGCCATGAAGGATCCGAACTCAGCAAGTTGGATCAAGGCAATTGAGGCGGAGCTATCCGCCATGGAGCGGCTCGGAGTGTGGAAGATTGTCGACATACCGGCAGGTGTTGAGCTTCTCAACACGGTTTGGATATTTCGTCAAAAATTCGATGAATTTGGCAATCTCTCCAAGTACAAAGCTCGGCTTTGTGCAGCGGGTAACTTTCAGGTGGAAGGTCTCAACTACGCTGAAACGTATGCCCCAACGGGAAGGCCAACTGCTCTTCGATCTCTGCTGTCGATGGGAATTGCATCTGGTCTAGACATTCATCAAATGGATGTCAAGAACGCATTCCTTAATGGCAAACTGGACGAAACAATCTACCTACGCCCTCCTGCGGGTCTCAAGGTTCCCCCCGGCAAATGTCTTCTCCTTCTGAAATCCATCTACGGACTCAAGCAAGCCCCTCGAGTATGGCATCACGAACTCTCTTCCTTCTTCAAATCTATCAATTTTTCGCCATCTGATGCGGATCCCTGTCTCTTCTACTCAAACCATCCTGAATGGAAGTGCTGGGTTCATGTATATGTTGACGACATGGTAATTGTCAGCAAAGACGTCGCCAGGTTCAAAAAACTGATCTCAGCCAAATACCTCATGGACGACTTAGGTCCCCTTCGTCATCTACTCGGTATGAAAATCTCCACGGTGGGGACTTCCATTAGACTCACTCAGGATGTGTACACGAAGAAAATCTTGAAGACTTTTAACATGCAAGAATGTCGAACTGTGGCAACACCAATGGTTCCTCACACTCGACTGACTGTGGCAACACCTCAAGAAATTTCTGAATTTCAATCCTTGGGAATCAACTACCGTAGAGCTATTGGGCTACTCAACTACCTCGCAGTCTCTACTCGACCAGACATTTCCTTCGCCATGTCTCAGCTATCTCAATATCTTGAACACCCAGGCTCCCAACATTGGGCGGCATGTGTTCATCTGCTGAGGTATCTCTGTGGCTCGTCGACTAGAGGTATCACATTAGGTGCAACCGTGACACCTATCAAAATATACGTCGACGCTGATCACGCCAACGACAAAATGAATTCCTACTCCTACTTCTCCTATCTGGTACTACTGGGTGACAGCATCGTGTCGTGGAAATCCAAGAAACATCCTTCAGTCTCCTCATCAACCACTGAGGCCGAATACACGGCACTGTATGAAGGGGGGCGAGAAGCCGTTTGGATGAAACGTCTGCTGTCGACCCTGGAAATTCCAATTCATGGTCCAATTCCGATTCTCTGTGACAACCAGGCCGCCATCGCCCTCGCGAAAAATACCGTCTTTCATGATAGGACGAAGCATTTCAGAGTTCATCTACACTGGATACGCGAGCAGATCAGTGAAAAGACGGTTTCGACTCAATACATACCAACTAATTCAAATCTAGCCGACTTTCTCACCAAATCACTCTGTAAGATCAAGCACACAGCCTGCGTGGAAGGGATCAACCTATCGGGTTGAGAATGAGGGGGGGTGTTGAACTTACAGTTCGGGGATTCATTCTCACCCCGATGCGGCGCAGCCAAGCACGTGGTGGTGTGAGATGGACAAGGTTCGAAACCTAGTTGGGAATGCATCGAATGCTTAAAAGACTTCTCTGTTGTCACAACTGTTGTTTTCTTTTTCTTCATTCGATTTCTCATCTCTTTCGCTCTTGTGTCTCACTCGCCTTACTAATCGTGTCTTGCTCGCCGATTAGGTTTGTTCATTTTTCATTCTCACTTTTTTTTCTTTCTCTTCAGAGTTGTTTATCTCATCTTCATTTCTTCTCAGGTTCGCTATTTGTGTTTGCTCTCGTAGTTAGTTCACGAAGGTCGTGCTCTAACATTCTGGTTTGGAAACCATCAGGTTAGAAATGAAATACCGAATTCGATTTCTCATCTCTTTCGCTCTTGTGTCTCACTCGCCTTACTAATCGTGTCTTGCTCGCCGATTAGGTTCGCTATTTGTGTTTGCTCTCGTAGTTAGTTCACGAAGGTCGTGCTCTAACATTCTGGTTTGGAAACCATCAGGTTCGCTATTTGTGTTTGCTCTCGTAGTTAGTTCACGAAGGTCGTGCTCTAACATTCTGGTTTGGAAACCATCAGACTTTAGGTTTATTATCCATGACCGTTGGGCCACGATCTTGGCTCCGGTGCAGTTCCCGGAAAGCCTTGCCTATACAATAAAGATTCTGCATTTAGTCCAAGCTATCAACAAGCCTTTGGCGAGACGAAGAAGAAAAAACCTTTATAATTAACTATTTTCCATCGCGTGTACTCATTTCCTCCTAACAACCAGGCCTCCTCTGGTCCAACTCCGGTTTGAGTTGATTCATAAGCCCAGACACAAGAATCTGTATGCTGGAAAACTCGGATTCATGATAGAAATTTAGACTCATATCATGACTATCAACTTGAAATTGGAATGACATAGATACCTGCAGAATAACGGCTGACTGACCTTCAATGCTAGGTCCAAATCTCCTTTCCTGTTTAAAAGTCGAGCCCCCAGCCCAATCATCGCACCCGCAAAGCAACTTAGATGGTCTAGGGTTGGCGTGAACACTCCCGCCTCCATGGAACCGATCACAGTGAAGTTTTTGCCACCAGGCGACTCTATGTCGTAAGTTCTAATGAGATGTGTGCGGGCAGATTCAATTGCGGAAGTGTACATTTTGCTATACTGTGATCTTCTGCCGCGCAATAATTGATGCTGCTTGATCTTTGAGCAATGGCAACGTGGAATCATCGCAGTTGATTAGTACATGAATAAAAACTGATTTTGAAAAAGACGAACTAGATATTCGTAGTAACTATCCATCATACCACCTGTGAGAATGCGAACTCTTCATTAGTATTCGCCTGGACAAACGAGGGCTAAATACAAAGATGTTTACCCATCGAGTATTTTTCAGACAGCGATTCAGGATCTTCAGCATCAACAGTTTCGGGGAACAATGTGCCCAGTCGGTCGGGAGAGACCCACTGATCCCCATCAAACAGATCTATTATTTTTTGCACCTGGAGGAGAAATCACTTCAATTTAACTCTGCGGTGGAGGAGACAAAAAAAATCGAAAAGGCAAACATTATCATAATAAAAATCTTTCGATGTGAGTTGGCTTAATCTGGTAAATTCCAATGCCAATGATCCAACGTCCGCGGTCACAACTCTTCCCGCTCTCTTGCCGTTAGGGTTTCTGTGGTACATGTGGAGGTAAGGGTTGGATACATGTCAATTGGGGCGAGTGTATACATTTTCAACAAGAATCGACCACCTCAGTAGAACAAGAGGACTGACAATCCTAATTGATAATGGGTCACTGGGAATCCGGAAGAGGTTCCAAAGGCAGGTAAAAGCCAATCTGCCAGGTCTTCTGCTCTTTGAAGCATCAGATCATCCCCTGACAAGTCATAAGCAGAGATGAGTCCACCGAGATCTGAGACAAATTTATTTTGTTAGTCGTATATCCTGACACTGAAGAACATCATTCGAGTGGACAGTCTCCAAACGTGATCTCAAGGGAAGTGGTTCATGTAAGGAGTTGTTGTTGACTAACAGCGAATGACGGCCTCAAACAAGGATATCTGGGGACCTTCGTAAATCGAATCCAAGTTGATATGACTGCCAACCACGTAAGACCAATCAATAGCCTTGACATGGGTTCTTGCATACTGAGATGTGGGCGAGACAGTCATCAAGCAGATATTTGTGTCTCCAATCAAGTTAATAGCCGAATCATCGAAAAGACTCACATTGTACTCGTGTGTCAGGTTCATTATGAGTAGTGTATCACTGGATGGAAATCAAGAGTAGATCAGTGCGGGTTGGCGCGGTCCATTGTCCCTGAGAAAACCCGAGCCCGTATTGCTCGTTTTATAGTTCATCAACTGATCAATCTTTGAGACATTCAATCCCAATTTTCACACTCCTAGATAGATTTTGAATGGCCGCTAGTATCTCTGAGGATTTGGATAGGAATGACAAAAATTTACGAAGCAAGAAGCATCACAATACTTACAGAGAATCAACTAATGTGGCTCCCCAGCCAGAAAACCCATCTTCAAACTGTTTAAGAGATTCAGGGCATAAGATAAGCCGCGAGTAAGGAATTAAAAGAAGAAGACTAGGTCAGTCGACTGTCTCACTCGAGTCACATGACACCAAGCTTATTGTGATGGTTCTAATTTCAACGTGACTGACTTGTCCTGAGAGTGGCTTCAACTCATCATGCCCCCATGCGTTGGCTTTGTAACCCTCCCAGACGTGTTGAAATCCACGTCTGACCCAGCCCTGGCGTTCCAGGCGATTGTCACGATCCGAGGGGGTTTCCCAGTCCGGTCTTTCGAATCCTGACCATTGGACCTTCGGCATTTTGCCCTCTGGAATCCGGTGTCGGTCCTTCCAGATGTAACTCGTATTTAATCCAGCTATCCGGTCTTTGGGAATGGGATTTTGAAGTGAATGGTGCTTCTCTTGTAATATTGTTCGCGGTGGCCAAATTGGTATCGGCGGTGGTGAGCTTCCGTGAGAGGAATCAATTGAGCTGGGAGGAGGAAACCGGTTCCTACTCAGTCGATCAATGAGCATAGTGCCAGTCGGAGTAGTTGTCAACCACGGGTATTTGGAATGCCGGAGAGGTTGAAACCCATTTCGCGGATCAAGGGCGTCTTCAAAAGTGTGATGGAGTATTGGAAGGCCCATCAACTCTTCGTCTGTGTAGGTTTTGTTCGGTTCAAACACGGCATATTGAGTCACAGTGATATTCTCGGAGTTCTCCACTGGTGAAGCGCCGATTGCGCGCAGATCCGGCACAACTGCTCCACCCATTTCATCATGTTTTCCGATCTGAGGCTCCATAACTTCCTCAACAGGCAGGTGGGGGGTGTCGTGAAGAATGGGTCTGTAAAAGTAAAGGTAAAAACACAGGCCGAGTCCAGAGGCGAGTACCAGTGATAAAAGTGCCCGCAGACGGGACCGGATCAGAGCGCCGAACGCATTAGCGTTTGCTCCAGTCCGGAATGCATTTCCGGCAGGTCCACCAGCGATCATTCCAGGAAGTTGGCTCATCTAGACGACGCTTAGACTTGACGCAGAAATTTTCAAAGATCAATGAGATTAAATCAGAAAGGATCAATTAGCCAAATTCCTTTCTTGATCATGTTCATACTACACCAGTACTTAGTTACTCACTCGCAGGATTTGAAGCAATCGTTTGACGAAAAGGATATCGATGATGTCGGATGGTTCCAACGCTTGCCTGCAGACACTGATGACAATTGTTGGCTGTTGCGCCAGGACACATGAAGTCCATCTAAAATGCACGAGTCTTGACCGCTATCTATGTAAATATGTACACTAGACGGTAGGCAATACAGAAGGCCTGTATTCTTCCATCTTACATTGCTGGATCCTGTCTATGACCATAGCTTAAGACAACCCCCCCCTTAATCGACTCGGGAAGCGAGCCTCCGAAGGAGGGGCTTTCGAGTAACCTCACTTTTTTGGCTTGGAGAACTTTTGATGTTTTGGTGGGGGGGGGGGGGGGAAATTGCTCTACATTTCCCCCCATCTTCCTCCCATAAATACGGCTTACATACCTGTCGGCTCATTAGAAACGAGCGAGTTTTGCCTACCAACCTACAAAAGATGGGACTTTTTACCTCTTGACCACCTGGAAATTCCAAGTACTTGTGCAATTGGCTAGAGATGTAGCAGATTTGGTTTAACTTTGGAAAATGAAACTTGTGTACCTTTCTTTTGGAGAAAGGTAAAACTAGGGAGAAGTTGATGGGTGTGTTCATAAGCAGTAATAGTCAAAACTGACGAGAAAGCCCAAAAAAACAGTATCTTTCAAAGTATTGAGCACATGAGCAACCTGTGTGACAGTGTAGAGTCACAGAAAGAGTAGAAACTCATATGGAATACAAGTTTTTGAGGAAAGTTGGGGGAACTTCACTCGAAATTTGGGTTTGCGCAGAATCTTATAAGAGTGCATAACTTGTGGACTGCAAAGATGATCGGAGTTCCAGACTCTTCACTCCAAAAAGATTGGAGTGCAAGGTTGAACACTAATAAGAGCAACCACATCGGACGAGGATTAAGAGTGGATTAGCGTAAGTAATCCGAGTCCTCAACCACATCGGGTTCAATGTGATTGGACTAAACTCTACTCCGGAGTAGGATTAGAGCTAAGTAGGAGTAAAGTTGATCCTCACTAATCCTGGGATTAAGGGCCATTTGCATACAAAACACACATGCAACCCCTGGCTACTCCCAGGTTTACACCACACCACTGCGGTTGACGACCCGGAGTAGCTGTAATCCAGGATTAAGCTAATCCGCTAATCCTCAACTTACACCCGCACCGATGCGGTTGCTCTAAAACAGGTACTGTCATTTGGAGCTTGCAAGACTTCACTTCAATGTTTCCTGGGTTTGAGCACAATTTCACTCCACTTTTGGAGTCCATGGAAGACTTGAAGTGCATTTAGAGCAACCCTACTCTTATCATGATAATCATCATAACTCTTCATAATATGATCTATGGCCCCTTTCAGCAGCAATGATGTGTGTTATGTGTTGCTATTTTCTGCATGACATGCTATGTGACACCTGGCAAGGTCCACCAAAACCACATTAGATTTCACAAAAATTCACAACAAATTGCTGTCAAAAAGAGCCTAATTATAAGAAATGAATCTTTTTTGGTTCTTCAAAATCTTTCCCCTATAACCTTTCAGATTCACAAGATTTATAACAGGCTTCTCCCTCTGAACAAGGAACTGAGACCAATGCATTCAAAACTACTTGCTTGAGGATAACTGAAGATGTCAATAATGTTCACTTTTTATAATAAGGAGGCTGCCTTATGAGAAAGACTCAGTGGATGAATTCCTGTTTGAATCCCAGTTTTTGATCAAGACCCAAAAAGTCTAGATTTTCCAAGGCAAATCTAGCTTTCAAGGCTCTAAATTAAAACTGGGGTACCCACAGATTTCAATGGAATAGTGATGAAATTATAGCGAAGAAGGGAAAGTCAGAAAAGCCAAAAGCAGACAAAGTCTGTAAGAGGCTATTTATACTTAATAAAGCGGGCTTAAGTGCGCTTTGAGTTAAGGCTGAGAGGAGGCTCAAGTGTTGACTCAGGACCGGGAAAAATAGCTAAGAACCAATGGGTTTTATTCCTTTCAATCTAGAGGTCTTTAAATAATCTAGATACAACATGATCAAATTGTGGGAGCAGTAATTGATTCATTATGAATAGGAATGAGAACCATATTCAATACTATTTAACAGTAAAGGAATCACATTGCTGTGAAATGAGAGAAGAGAGAGCGAGAACAAGTGAAATTCCAACAGATAGTGGATGACTTCCCGTCAGCTCTGGGGCCTTCCCAGTTTTTGATTAAGACCCAAAAAGTCTATATTTTTGAAGGGACATCTAGCTTTTGAGGCTCAAAATCAAGACTGGGGGACCCACAGATCTTGACTGGAATTCCTCCAGTAGTGGGTTTCATGATTGACATTTCTCATAAAACTTTTCATCTCAAACCAGCAGCGCTGCACGGCTTAAAAATGGCTAAAAACACACTCACTACAAGCAAAGTCCAACATTCAAGCTGTAAAAAAACAATTTTTTGGAGCAAACCAAGCACCCAAAATCTTAATGATGAAGCCCGCTGGTAAAATTCCATTAATGATGCCTGATGATGAGGAATACATGTATTCCATTTATTATGATTCGGAGCAAGTGACAAGTGGATGTTTGAAGAGATATGCCATTGTTTTTAATTTGTGGAAGCAGCTCCACATCATATAGTTCTATAAGACTCAAGCCATTGGTCTCTTCTAACACACACTCACCCCTGTGCAATAGACCTTATTCAGCTCAGTATTCAATTGGTCACAATTAACTCAACCCCAGTCATTACATTGACAATGGAATCCCAGACATTTCAGGTGTTGTTGGGATCATGAAGGACTTATTGGATCAACATAGAAGATATGTGCCAAGTAGTTTTTCAATAATGTGCTACTCTGCACTTCCTCCCAAGGTGCGACATTGATCTTGGTCATTGTCCTTATTTTTGGGATTGATCCTGCAGCAAAGTGTTCTTTCTTTGTGCTGCTGCACAGCTCAAATTGCCTGCAACTTGGCTGCATACATAATTGTATGCAACATGCATATCTTGGCCAATATGCCCAACAGGGTATATAAACCACTGTCTTCTGCCCAGGGTACCTCTTCCCTTCTTCAGATCCTTCCGAGTTTTCAAACTCTGAAGCATGATGAAGTTACTAATGGAACTCCACCTGTAGTTACTCAGAGGGGGTAAACGGTATGGATTCCGGTAGGTGTGGCCTGGAGGAGACAGATGTAGTCTCCTCCAGCTGGCTGAGCTGCAGCCAAGTCACACCATGTGACCTAGGTCACAACACCCACCCCCTCGGCAAGGCTCCAAGACACCTTCTGGGGAGGTCCTAACTACATATAACAAGCTGAGAAAAATTGGAAAGAAAATGAAGGTAAGAAATAAATCATCAAAATAAGATAAATCTGGAAACAAATTGTGTGGGAAAGCCGAGGAGGCTCAAAGATAAAAAGAATAAATAATCAAAATGAAATAACACATAAGAAATGATGAGTAGGTTGAAGATAAAAAATCAAAACAATCAAATGTTGTGAAGTGGAGAAGAGAATTGTAGTGTGAAACTGGCTAATAATAAGTGGAACCATAGCCATCATCAAAGCTACCATTTTCAAAGCCACCATCATCAAAACCACCATCATCAAAACTGCCATTGTCAAAACCGCCATCATCAAAACCGCCATTGTCAAAACCCACCATCATCAAATCCACCATTGGCAAATCTGTCATCCAAACTGGCACCAGAATCCTCAAAATAACTTTGGTCATCAAAGCCACCATCATCATTGAAACTATCAAAACAACCACTATCATTGAAATCATCAAGCTTATTGCTGTCAACATTGAAATCACCACCACTAGTATTGAGAATTGCCAAGTGATCAAAATTTTCCTTGAGATCAGCGTTGTTGTAGCTGTCTGTTTGGTAATTGGAATGGTGTTGAAAATAGATAGGATTGTTGATTTCATCCGGCTGCTGAGAAGGATTATTGTCAACGGTGGGCCAGTTACGCTAACCGTAGTGTTAGTGTAGCGTAACGTAGCGGAATTCTGCTGAACTTTAGCATAGCGTAGCAGAATTCCGCCTAGAGATGGTCGAAGGGTATCCGTCGCAGATACCCGTTATCCGCTGGCGGATACCCGCCTGTGCCAACGGATACCCGCCAGCGGGTGCGGATTCGGGTGCGGATGGCCCCTTTTCCGCAAATCGCCGGCGGGTCGACTGGAAGGAAGCCCTTCCAGTCAACGAGGTACAAGTACCTCGCCGGCTGGAAGGAAACTCTTCCAGCCGGTCCGTCGCCGGCCCTTTAGCGGGCGGGTATCCGAGGATACCCGCTGCGGCCGACGGATACCCGCTAGCGGGTGCGGGTGCGGATGCGGATGTGCAATTTCGCTGAAATTGCCATCGGATATCCGCATCCGGACGGGTATCCGGATGCGGACCGACCATCTCTAATTCCGCCACATCAGCGCTAACACTACACGTAAAGGGCACAACAGTGCGCTAACAGTTAGCGTAGTGTTAGCACAAAAAGTTGGAACTGCACTAACACTACATGGACAGGGCACAAAAAAGTACCCACTATGCTGCGTTACAGCGCTTTTTAGCGGATTTTTAGCCTTTTTTTCCGCTAAAAGCGCTGTAGCATAGCGTAACGCAGCGTAGTGGTGGTAGCGGTGCGCTAACACTACAGAAAAAAAATCTGTTAGTGCCGCTACAAATTAGCGGCACGTAGCGGTGGTAGTGGAGCGCTAACACTACACAAAAAAGGGCCACATTTTGCGCCGCTACGCTAACACTAAATGGCCCTGTAGCGTAGTGTAGTGTAGCGGCCCACTGCTGGTATTGTCTTGTTGGTCAATACCTGCAAGTGGTATTTGATTTGGTTGTGCATGAGACAATGAGTTGTGTTGCAC